TCCGTGTCCGTCCGTCCGTCCGTCCCCGCCGCCATGCAGAAGTCGCGGGATGGCCGGGAGGAGCTCCCGGAGGACTTCTTCATCCCCATGGCCCTGGAGACCCCCAACCTGACGGCGCTGAGCCCCTTCCTGGTGCCGCAGACCCACCTGGGCAGCCCCGGGGTCTTCATGGGGATGTCGGCCTTCATGTTCGTGCTGATCTCCCTGGGCGTCCCCATCAACGCCCTCACCATCTTCTGCACCGCCAAGTACAAGAAGCTGCGCTCCCACCTCAACTACATCCTGGTCAACCTGGCCGTCTCCAACCTGCTGGTCATCTGCGTCGGCTCCACCACCGCCTTCTACAGCTTCTCCCAGATGTACTTCGCCCTGGGGCCCACCGCCTGCAAGATCGAGGGCTTCGCCGCCACCCTGGGAGGTAGCGGAGGACGGGGGGACGTCGGGCGTGGGGGACGTGGGGCAGAAGGACGCGAGGGCCTGGGGACGTTGGGCGTGGGGGACCTTGGGCATGGGGACGTTGGGTCTTGAGGACGTGGAGCAGAAGGACGTGCGGGCATGGGGACACGTTGGACGTGTGGGACATTGGGCATGGGGACGTTGAGCATGGGGACGCTGGGTGTGTGGGACATGGGGACGTTGGGTCTGGGGACGTTGGGTCTTGAGGACGTGGAGCAGAAGGACGTGAGGGCGTGGAGACATTGGATGTGGGGACGTTGGGCGCGGGGACGTTGGGTCTGGGGACGTGGACCAGAAGGACGTGGGGCGTGCGGGACGTGGGGCATGTGGGACGTTGGGCATGGGGACGTTGAGCATGGGGACGCTGGGTGTGTGGGACATGGGGACGTTGGGTCTGGAGGACATGGAGCAGAAGGACACGAGGGCATGGGGACGTTGAACGTGGGGACGTTGGGCGCGGGGACGTTGCATGTGTGGGACATGGAGCAGAAGAACATGAGGGCGTGGGGACATTGGGCCTGGGGCTGTTGGGTGTGTAGGACATGGGGCATGGGGACGTTGGGTCTGGAGGACATGGAGCAGAAGGACACAAAGGCGTGGGGACGTTGGGCCTGGGGACGTTGGGCGTGTGGGACGTGGGGCAGAAGGACACCAGGGCGTGGGGACGTTGGGCATGGGGACATTGTGTGTGGGGGACATGGAGCACAAGGACGCAAGGGTCTGGGGACGCTGGGTCTGGGGACGTTGGGCGCGTGGGACATGGGGCAGAAGGACATGAGGGCATGGGGACATTGGCCACGGAGACATTGGGCATGTGGGACCAGGGCATGGGGATGCTGGGTCTGGGGACGTTGGGTGCAGGGGACACGGAGCAGAAGGACGCGAGAGCATGGGGACGTCGGGCGTGGGGACGTCAGGTGTGTGGGACAGTAGGGCGTGGGGACATTGGCCATGAGGACATCAGGCACGGTGATGTTGGGTGTGCGGGACACTGGGGCACGGGGACATTCGGTGTGTGGGACGTGGAGCAGAAGGGCATGAGGGCATGGGGACATTGGCCCTGGGGACATTGGGGGTGTGGGACGTGGGGTAGAGGGACACGAGGGCGTGGGGATATTGGGGAGATGGGGACATTGGGTGTGTGGGACACGGGGCAGAGGGACACGGGGACATCAGGTGCGCGGGGACATGGAGACGTTGGCCATGGGGCCATTGGGTGGGTG